AAGATGAAGAAGAAGGGATTATTTTTTATTTTTTATTTAAAAATAACAATCTTATGTGGCAGCTGACGTGGCGCATATGTGGCTGCCACATATGTGCCATGTAACCAAAAGTCAACATTTTATGGTTGACTGTTTGGTCAACCGTTATCTATAACGGTCAACAAAATTGTCATGACGTAAATGACACACAACTATCATACGTCAGGACACAGATGTCGTATCGAATACTTTAGGACACAAATGGCACAAAGTTAATAGTTCGGGTTTCCCAGTGGTATTAGCCCATTTTTTTTATGGTACAACTTGAACTTGTACTTTTATGTTAGGGGTGGGCATTCGGTCGGTTCGATTTCGACTGAACTGAAATTATGAATACCGGGTCCCCGAATTCTCCCAAACCCCAAACCGAATTTGAACAGAATTATAATTTGGTTCGGTCGGTTTAAACAGAAATATAATTCGGTTCGGTTCGGTTTTTCACATAAAATCGAATTTGTGAGGTTACTTGTTTGTATCTTCTCACTTTTAAATTATTTTCACCCCTAATATAACCAATAAATATGCAATTATATGCATAATCAATGATAATCAAACTTTAAACACATAAACCATAAAATATTTCATATATTTAAGTATAAAAACAACTACAAACACAAAAATCCACCATTTGGAGGTTGCAATTATAGTATTTCGGTTTTTCGGTCGGAATTTCGGAATTTCTGTTCGGTTGAAAGAACCCTGATTTCCGAAATATTGATATTTTCCTTTCGAATTTCGAACCGAATAGCATTATTTCGGTTTCGGTTCGGGTTTACCGAACCGTTTGCCCACCCCTACTTTATGTGATGGTAGAACTTCTAGTTGTAAAGTTGTACCATAACATAATGGTACAAATTGCTTTATGGGACAACCTAAACTTAACTTTGAGTTGTACATTAAAACATCAATACTATATAGCATAGTAGAAGCGCTCATCCACAAATAAACACAACTGGCAAGTTGCAATCAAAGATGAACCAACTGTCATGTCTGTCTTGAGACCATTTTAGTGATGGCAATTTCAACCCGCCCCGCGGGTATTACCTGACCTGACCCGCGATGGGGCGGGTATTACCCGACCCGCAGTAGCGTGGGGCGGGGCATGGGTATATACTTCCGACTCGCCCTGCCCCGCCCTGTTCTAGACTCATTTTATCTCAATTTCTTACAATATCTATACATATTTCTCCTATTTTGACTTTTCTTCAACTAGTTAGAGTCGATCTTTCAACTTGTTAGGCTCAATTATCCATTCTATTATCAATATTTTTCATTCTAAGTGTTTTTCCCTACGTTTTATGGTAAAAAGTAAAATTTACTTTTATTTTTTTTGAACAACATGTAAGAGTGGGTCGACCCGCCCCGTACCCGCGCGGGTTTTACCCGCCCCGACCCGTAGTCACGTGGGGCGGGACATGAGAATTGAGGTACCCGCCCCGCCCTATTGCCATCACTAACCATTTACCCAGGCATTCGCGATCTTACCAGCCACGTCACACCTTGACGGCAGAAACCGCCCCCACGGCCAGATCTACGGGTACCGGAATTCGCTGTGGGCGAAGCACGTCGGAGCGCCACTGGCGGCAGTTTGCGGCGGAGACGGTGACGGTGATGAAGGGTCATTTGTTGAACTTGAAGTATCCGGTGGAAGTGGATCCCACCGGTAAAATGAGGGCTATCCGTACCTGTTTGCGTTGCTTTCCCGGACGTCGGTGGCAATATTTTGGGGTCGTTTATTGCGATTCAGGAAAATCTCACCATCTGATTGATAGGCGCGCGCGGAGGGGACTAAAATTATAAAATTAGAAACATCGTGGGCCGAAACAGATAGGGATATTTTACTTGTGCGCCTACCAAAAACGACCTCATAATTCATAACCAAATGGCCAAATAGTTTATAGGATTTGGATCAAGGTGTGAAGTTGCATGTAATGTTCCTCGTCATAAGCAGCCTTACTAGAGCTTAACACACTTACAATCATACTTTGTAAACACACGGTAGGGTATATAAAATATGTATGGATATTATATATTGTCTCTAAATTATTATTTTGTCTAATAGTATATCAATAGTCATAATTGAATACTGAGTATTAAACGTGTTATAAGAGTAAATGTGTTTAGCACAAAAGTCAATCACAGGAAAAAGAAGTGATATGGCAATAGTATGAAAACAAAAAATTTAAACATATAAAATACATACGTTCATATATGCGCGTATGAAATGAAATATTTACTAAGAATGGTTATGATTGTCGTGAAGTCGTAAGTGCCTCTCGATCGTTGGCCGTTGCATGGCTCAACTAGTTGTTTGAGCATCTTCCACCTATAAAACTCGTACAATCCTACTTCTATTAGTAAATGGTATGTATTCATAATTGAACATCTTTTAACAATTTGAGTTATTGGAACTAACTGGTTTATGACATGTGGTATCAGAACCTTTTATGAACAAGAGGTCTTTTGTTCAAACTTCAATCCATATGAATAAGCTTTTGTTTGAGTACATATGTTAGTAAATGGTATCTGATCAATAATTAAGACATTTTCCCATCATACCAGAGTCTATTTTACACTCTAACTTCCTCACATTATTGAATGTCGGAGGGGAAAATTTGATAACATTTACAAATTCTGGATCTTGCTTGTTTTGCAGGTGTGAAAACAATCTGGATAAAGGACGTCCGAGCTAGCAACCCAGCAGATTCGTGCTTCATATATGTAAGAGTGTGGTATAAGATCCAGCAGAACCTTCTCCCAACAACTTGAGTTATTGGGATCAACTGGTTCTTGACAATATACAAATCCTATCTTTAAATTCTTATTGTCCTACCGCTGCTAATTTGTAATGGGTGAATCTCTGATGATAATTATCTTTTTTTTGGTGAAACTGATGATAATTATCTATACTCAAATAATATGATGAATTTAATCAAAATTAATAATCAATCAATCTTATTTGTCAAAGTTTATCTAACTACAGGGTCGTTTGGTTTTGGTGATAGTTTGGTTGGGATAGTTAAATGCATGCAATGTCCACAATGCATTGTTTTTTTTTTTAATTTTCTTCGCAAACAATGCATTGTTTGAGTGATAGTTAAATCTCAAGTTTTCGTTGAGATTGTTGAGATTGTTTGATGGAGATTGTTGTGTTTTTTTCTTCTTCCAAATATGTCCCTACATTTTTATGTGTGTTGCTTTTTTATAAAAAACAAAAGATAAAAGTGACATTTCACCCAAAAAGTGATCTAATTTATTTAAAATACTACAATAACTATCACAGAAACCAAACGATGTAAACTACACATACACCAATTTTCTTATATACATGTATATTATTATACATGCATTGATGAAAATACATTAATTTAACTATCACCAAAATTGAGAGTAATGATTAATTGTCCAAAAGAAAATGACGAATCAGCAAATCATGCACATATAAAAAATAATCATTAGAGCAGTAAAACTATTAAATTTTAAATCTAATCTTTAAAGTCAGCACTCAGCAGTCAGCACCCAGATCTCTGATGATACAAATTAAATAACAGTATTATATTAGCCACGTGAAACAAGTTCCACTTTACTACTTATATTCTCCAGAATTAATTCCTGGGTCCCTTATGATTATGAAAATTAAAACATTGACACCCCAAGATAAATGTCCTTTATTATTATTATTTTTTTTACAAAAAGAGATTCTTTCTTTCATTAAAAACGTTTATTTTAATATCACAGACACATTGAGTATATGGATCCGATCTCCAGGAAGGGTTTCATTAACAACATATTTTGAAGTCAGTTTGCATCTTAGTTAATTTTTCAAATAGTAGTAATAAAAGCATAAGCATATATAAATTGCAAGTTTGGTAACTAAAATTACTTAAAAATTTCACGTTTACCACTAAAATTAATTTATTTCATCCGTAGTTACTTAAATTAAGTTAACAGTTCAAGTTTGGTCACTGGTTGTTAGTCTCCGTTAACGTTTGCAGATGTGGCGGTCAACTCTTATCATTGACCGTTAAATGAGTGACGAGGCAATTAAAATAATAATAAAAAATAAAATAATTTTTATTTTCACCTAATGAATTCAAAATAAATCCTAACTTGCCGCTAACTTCTCTTCGGTCACCGGGGCGGAAGGAGGACCAACCAGCCGTCGCTGGTAGGGATGGCAATGGGTCGGATTGGGGCGGGTTTTGTCAAACCCAAACCCATGGGTTTATCCGCCAAAAAAACCCGGGGTAAAACCCGTTGGGTTTGAAAAACTCAAACCCAACCAAACCCGCTGGGTATCCGCGGGTTCATGGGTACCCGTGGGTTTTTGTGGTAAAAATTTACAATAACAAGTTTCTTTAAAAATAAAAGTTTAACATCAATTTTCTCATACAAATTAATCATACAAAAA